ATGATGTATACATTCAATATTCTGCATCCACACTATTCTTACCTCATTCCCATCCAACCACAGTGGAAGGGGGTCCCTCCTCTGATTAGAGTCTAATCCCTCCTTTTATAGTTTGAATTATACCCTTTCCAAGTTCATCAAAGCTTTGCTCCATGATTTAATTTGTCACATTCTTATATTTTTACTCCTCTTTATTAACTGACAATTTCTATAACCAGATGGGCTACCTGAGCCATAATTCTTTTTTCATAATTTTATTAGGATATATTCATTATACAGGGGGATTCATAGTGATAATTCCAATTAGACTTATATTGTACATTAGTTACATCACCCCCATCGTTTCTCCCCCTCAACCTTCTCCCTGTCCCACTTAAAGCATTGCAAGAGAATCTGCTTAATTCATCTCCCTCCCACTAACCCCCTACAATGTACCTACTTTACAGTCCTGTTTTTCATTATTAATACTTAAATTGATGTTCACAGGGGTGTCCCAACGTGTCCCAACTGTGAGTACACTTTACTTTGGTCCATTCAACCCCTTCCATTCCTCTCCCTTACCCCTTTACCTCTCACCTCCAATTTTTCAACAGCTTTCGATACTCATCCTTATATCCTCCACCTTCACATCTTATGTTATGCAATATTACTGATGTTGAGCCATAAGTCTTATGTCATAAGAAACTATATTTCCTTCATCATGTAGCTCCTGACATATACCTTTTTTCCCCCTTGTGTGAATGTCTCAGAAAACTAGCCTGCACTGGCTTTTCTTAAGTGCTTTGGAGCTATTCTCCCAAAGTCTCCTTGATGCTAAAACAGTAGACACTTCAGTTTTTGTCTTACTTGATGCTTATGCACATATGACCATAAAGACTACTCTCTCCTTGAAACCTTGTCTCTCATTGGGTTCCAATGTCACATGTCATTCTTCCTTGGCTCCTCAATATCATTTTCTTCTCTGGGTTCCCTCCTTGAAGCCAGCCCTATGTGTTCTGGTTTTCTATCACTCTCCATTCAGCTTCTCCCTCTATACACTTTCCTGGGTGATCTCATCCCCTCCAATGGCAGATGGCACTCGCGATTCCTACCTCAATGCTATGTCTTCAGCTCTAGACACATCAATCTTTTTTTTTCTTTTATTATTCATATGTGCATACAAGGCTTGGGTCATTTCTCCCCCCTGGCCCCACCTCCTCCCTTACCACCCACTCCGCCCCCTCCCTGCCCCCCCCACCCACTCAATACCCAGCAGAAACTATTCTGCCCTTATCTCTAATTTTGTTGTAGAGAGAGTATAAGCAATAATAGGAAGGAACAAGGGTTTTTGCTGGTTAAGATAAGGATAGCTATACAGGGTGTTGACTCACATTAATTTCCTGTGTGTGTGTGTTACCTTCTAGGTTAATTCTTTTTGATCTAACCTTTTCTCTAGTTCCTGGTCCCCTTTTCCTATTGGCCTCAGTTGCTTTTAAGGTATCTGCTTTAGTTTCTCTGCGTTAAGGGCAACAAATGCTAGCTAGTTTTTTAGGTGTCTTACCTATCCTCACCCCTCCCTTGTGTGCTAAAGCTTTTATCATGTACTCAAAGTCCAATCCCATTGTTGTGTTTGCCCTTGATCTAATGTCCACATATGAGGGAGAACATACGATTTTTGGTCTTTTGGGCCAGGCTCACCTCACTCAGAATGATGTCCTCCAATTCCATCCATTTACCAGCGAATGATAACATTTCATTCTTCTTCATGGCTGCATAAAATTCCATTGTGTATAGATACCACATTTTCTTAATCCATTCGTCAGTGCTGGGGCATCTTGGCTGTTTCCATAACTTGGCTATTGTGAATAGTGCCGCAATAAACATGGGTGTGCAGGTGCCTCTGGAGTAACCTGAGAGACACATCAATCTGATAAACATGAGGAGTCACCAAACTACGTGAGCTCCAAGCTAGGCTCATCACATGCCCACTTCACTGCCTTCCCTAGTGTCCCACTCCTGTGTTGCTTAGCTCCATTGCTCATACTTAGAATTCATCCTTGACTCCTCTTTCTCCCTCAGCACCCTAATCACATATATCTCCCCAAAACCTTTTAACTGACACCAGTCTTTCATGTCAATAATCACTGCCTTAGTTCCAACTCTCACCATTTCCTTCCTAAACAAGTACAATAGTTGGCATCCTTCAATATATTCTCCACACTACAGTAAGAGTCATTTTTCCCAGACAGAGATCTGAGGTTTGTTTAATGTATTCTTTCCTCCCTCATTATAAACGTCCACCCTCTTTAGTCTGTTCTTCAGGAAATGATAGGCCCTCCACGATATATCCTTGCTTATCCCTCCTGTCCCATCTCCCATTTGACTTAGCTCATGTTTCATGATGATCCTCTGCACAGCATGTCCTTCTCCGCACTTCCCCTATAGGTAGCATCTGCCCACCCTTAAAGATTATTCTGAGTCTTCCCTTCTGCAGGATGCCTTCCATAACTCTGTAAGCTGAGTTAGGCTTGCTGCAGCTAGTTGCAAGAACAAGAGGAAGCACAATATAGGGGGGGTTGGCCTTTAATTTGTTAGTTCCTCATCCCTATTACCTGTGGCTTCAGTCACTGCCATATAGAAGAATGAGATGAGGGCAAGAAAGCTCTGAGTTGACTGGCACTGTCTTGATAATCAAGAAATAGTGCTTTCTGTTCTTCGCTGGTCTTTAAATTCCACTTATGGAATTCTTTCATTGTTTTTAGTATTTTTAAATTCCAGTTGCATCATCTTTGTCATTCAGTTGGTTTGCACAGTACATTTGGATTTAATGTAATTACCACTGCAGTTAGGTTTGAGTTTAATCTTACTTCCTATTTTCTATTTATCCCAAGTGTTATTTGTTTTCTTTATAAGTTTAAAATTAAAGTTTTATTAAAAATAAATTTAAATTTCAAAGCAAGGGTAAATTGCACAATGAAAACAAGTATAATCAATTCATTGCTAGTGTTACAAGGGAAGGGTAAGGTGCTATACAAGTCTTTATCCTACTTCCCCATGATTCTATCAGCTTTGGTTGCAGTAGTACAGAAAAGGGCTGTATTTCTGACCCAAAAATGTGGTTCCTCCAGTGCCTGGAAGATCCTATAAACACATCTCCACATTGTCATCTCCAGAAGTTTTGTTCTTTGTCTTTCATATCACATTTTTTGCCTTTCTTGGAATTAACCAAGAACTGTTAATCATTTACATCATTTATTATATTTTGTTTTGCTATTATGTATTATTTGGTTGTTATTCTAGAGCAAGGATTTGTAAACCTTGCATTTTTAAGAGGTTTTAAAAAAATACAATCATGCATTAATAAGGACAGGCATGCTTTCTGAGAAATGCCCTATTGGGCAATTTTGTTATTTTGTGAACATCATAAAGTGTACTTACACAAACCTAGATGTTTTAGGTCACTCAGTCAAAGGTGGCCTCCTGATGCAATCAAGAAATATGGTAAACCTGAGATGTATGAGCTTTTGCCAGCATAACACAGCCTACTGTTTCACATTAAACTTTTTTATAAGTAGGAGTAAGCCCTAAAATAATGATGAAAGAGTACAATACAGTAAATACACAAACAGCAGCCTAGCCATCTATTGTCATTGTCATGTGCTTTACATACACATATTTGATTCCTCTCTTTTGTACACATATGATTCACATGGTAGTCATTTTTGTACAATAAAAATAATATATGTAATCTATTTTACATATATATATATATATGATTCACGTGGTAGTTATTTTGTTGCTTTAAACAACCAATATTTTACCATGATTACCTATACATTTACTGTTTCTCTGTTCTTCATTCCTTCTTCCAATTTTATGCTTTAATCAAGGATCATTTTGATTCAGACTAAAGTTCTTTAGAATCTTTTATTGTTGTTCTTTGGTAATCAATTATCTGTTTTCAATAGAGAGCAAACAGCTTTAATTTCTAAAGGATATATTCATTGACTATAGAATTTTAGGTTGATTCCTAGTTTTATTCCTTCCTTAGTCTTTCCCTTTCTTCTCCTCTCTTCTCTCTTCCACTCCCTCCCCTCCCCTTCCCTTTCCTCTCTCCTCTTCCTCTCTCTCATTCTCACTGAAAGTATTATTCAATTGTCTTCTGTTTTCTGTAGTTTCTGTTGAAAGAACTGAGCCTGTCTCATTATTGCTCATTTGAAGGTAACGATTTTTTCCCCCCTTAGGGCACGTCAAAGACAGATATTTTGTTTTTCAGCAGATTTGCTTTGTATTTCTCTTTCTTGGAGCTCATTGAGCAGTATCTCTATTCTGTAGGTTGGTATCTTTCCTCCATTTGGGAAAATCATTGGCCATTATCTTTTAGTTGTTGTGTTGCCTATGCCTGCCATATCTCTTACTTCTGGTCTATGAAAACATGTGGCTTTGACTCTTCATGGAGTACAATTTATTTTCAATGATAATTATTTTCTTGCTACTCCAATCTCGAGCCAGATATCTAATAACTGGGTCTTTAAAGTTTCAGGGTACCCATCAAGCTATTTGAGTGGTCTGATTAAAGCCAATTTTGGGAGAAGCTCCAAAGTGGAGGCAGATTTCTCCATTTGGTGTGAAAAGCCTAACAAATGCTATATTCTTAAATATCCAATTCTTCCCTTGACCTCCTTAAATTTTTTTATGAGCTACATGGACTATAAATTGCAAGACATTAATTTTGGGCTATCTTTTAACAAATTCCACATTTGGAATTTGTTATTTGGCATCTCAGAATAAACTATGTTTATGTAGTATAATATTAACATGCTGTTTCCTATTAAGTGGAAATTCTTTTAAAAAAAAGAAATTGGTCCCCAGTTTTGTGGATGTCCTAATATGTACTTACTCTGTTACTTGTGTTTGGTACTCTTTTTATATTAATTTCAGCAGGGGTAGAATCTGGAGATTTGACCTTCCTCAATGATAGCTCTGTTTTGTTTTGTTTTGTTTTCTACAGCGGGATAAGGATGACGGACTTCCTCTGGAGAAACCACAGCTCTCTTACTGCGTTTCTTCTTCTAGGATTCTCTAATAACCCAAAGATAAATGTTATTCTATTCAGTGTCTTTCTCTTCCTCTATCTCATCACCCTTCTAGGCAATGGACTCATTATGACTTTGATACACAGGGACTCCCACCTGCACACACCCATGTACTTTTTCCTCAGTGTCTTATCCATTCTAGACATGGGCTATGTCACCACCACAGTACCTCAGATGCTCATACATCTAGTTAGTGAGAAGAAGACCATTTCCTATAGTGGATGTGTGGCCCAGATGTACATCTTCCTGATGCTGGGAATCACTGAGTCTTGGCTTTTTGCAATCATGGCTTATGACAGGTATGTGGCTATTTGTCATCCCCTCAGGTATAAAGTCATCATGAGCCCTTTGCTGTGTGGGTTATTGGTGGCCTTCTGTGGATTCTGGGGTATCAGCTGTGCCCTAATATACACAGTTTCTGCTATGATTCTTCCCTATTGTGGCCCCAATGAGATCAACCACTTCTTCTGTGAAGTACCAGCTGTCTTGAAGTTGGCCTGTGCAGACACCTCTGTAAATGACCAGGTGGACTTCATCTTAGGTTTTATCCTTCTTTTGGTCCCATTGTCCCTCATCATCATTGTATACATCAATATCTTTGCTGCCATCTTGAAGATCCGCTCAACCCAAGGGCGACTCAAGGCCTTCTCCACCTGTGCTTCCCACATCACTGTGGTTACTATGTTCTCTATCCCATGCATGGTTATGTATATGAGACCTGGCTCTGAGTCTTCCCCAGAAGAGGACAAGAAACTGGCTCTGTTCTACAATGTCATCTCTGCCTTCCTGAACCCCATCATCTACAGCCTCCGGAACAAAGATGTGAAGAGGGCTTTCTTCAAAGTGTTAGGCTTGGGCGAAGGGTCAGAATGAAGTCTTGGGACCATTAGCATGAACAACTAAGCTAAGGACACAGCCTACGGGATTTCTTTATACAAATTCCTTTTAAATTCCAGTGAACTCACATCATATATTTATGGGACAGAGTAAGTGAGTGAGATATGCTTGAGAATGCTATGGCAGTGGGTGCCTCTCAAACATGAATACAACAGACAGTGGATCTCACAAAGGCAGGTCCCATATTGATTAATCTCTGTATCAACTTATTTAGCAAAGAATTTATATCACCTTTCTTTTTTTATAAATAATAGAACATGTACTGAATACTTGCACTCTGGACTCATAAAATAAGTTCAAATTGAAGGGCATAAAGTGACTTCTAGACTCCCAAATCAGTAACCTGACTGTAGGTCAGTTAGAGACATGACAGGTGCTAAAGAAAGAACAATTTAAGATAAATTAACGGTGACCATATGGAAGAGAGTTCAAAGTAACAAAGGTCAGTTTTCACCCAGTGCTGTTAGGAGAGTGTGAATTTAGGGCACATAAATCCTCATGTCAGTAGAGAGAGGAGCTCATTTTTTTTTTTAGGGAAGTAGTATATGTAGGGAGGAGTAGAATCTCCTAGTAATTGGGTGAAAATATCCTGTTCCCCTGACTTTCCTTGATGCATTTTCAATTCCATTTAAACAAATGGACATAAAATGAACTACAACTATTGAAAATATACAATTTGGTGAGTTCTGATGCATGTGTATACCTATGAAACCATCATCATAATCGAGATCAAATTTCTTGAACTTTTGGGATCCCTCTGTGTTAAAAATCTATTGTTATGTAATTAATAACCCCAAAGTTCAGTGTCTTAAACTACAAGTATTTATTTTTCACAGTTTCTGGGGGTCATGAGTCTCAGTGAAGTTCAGCAGGGTTGTCTGGATTAAGTTGTCTCATAAAGCTACCATCAGTGTACCAGCTAAGGCTGCATACTTCCCAAGGCTCAACTGGAGAAGGATTTGCTTCCAATCTCACATGATGAGATTTAGTTCCTGGAAGGCTGTTGGACTGAAGACTTATTTCCTTCCTAACTATCATGCAGAGTATCCATCAGTTCTTTGCCTTGAGGGCCTTTCCATTGAGTGGCCCACCAACCTGGCAGCTGGCTTCATCAGAGTGAGCAAGAAAGAGAGAAAGAGAAAGGTTGTAAGCATTGTGGACACTTGACTTTTTGTAGCCTAATCTTGAAAGTGATTTCCATCACTATTGGGCAATTCTTTTCATGAGAAGTGAACTACTAGGTCCAGCCCAAACTCAAGCAGAGGGGATTACAGAAGGGCATGAATACCAGAATGTAGAAGTCATTAGTTCATGCAAAGCATCTCCCTATGATTTAGACTCTTGCTACTCAAGAAGTAGCCTTGGATTAATGTCATCAGCATTACCTAAGAGATAAGAAATGCAGAATAACACCTCTGACACTGCGGAATCAGAATTTGCATTTTAAAGATTCTACAAGTGATTCCTGTGCTCTTTTAAGTCTGAGAACAATGATTTAGCCAACAGCCCTGGAACAATATAACACCATCTGTGGCAGTAGATAAGGTCCAATCTAATTATTTTAAGTGACTAAAACCTTTAGAACAATCAAGAGGAAAAAACTAAACTTCTTTGGCACAAGTGTGGCTCTAAGGTTCCAGGTAAGATTGACATCATGCCCACTTGTCTGTAACTTTATTGCCTGACTAACTTTCACCATCTATATGCATCCCCTGTCAGAAACTGTCTAAGCTTATCCTGGAGAAAAGCTGAGCTGAGGTTTTGACCTCCTATGCAATCTCCCACTTTATGTCTGTTTGGACAAAGAAAAAAAGTAATTGGCAGAAAGGAAAAGGGAAGAAAGATATTAAAGAAAAAATCTCTTGCCTTTGTCTCCATTTTCCTAGTTAAATTCAATACATTATTCTGCTTCTTTCAAGAATAAAATCTGCTAGAAAGTTGTTCATACTTTTTTAGCATATATGAGTTGTACAGTATAAGGGATTTCATTATGACATTTCCACATATATGCATGCAATGTACTTTGATCACATCCACCCCTTCTATTACTTTTTCTTATCCCTCTTCTCTTCTCCCTTTCCCTTCCACCTCCCTAGTAGTCCCCCTTTTACTTTCATGACTTTGTTTCTTTCGCCCTAGCTTCCACAAATGAAAGAAAACATGCAATACTTATCTCTGTGGGACTGGCTTATATCACAGCATGATGATCTCCAGTTCCATTCATTTGCCAGAAAATGACATAATTTTATTCTTCTTTATGACCAAAAACTCTAAAGACTCAACTAGAAGACTCTTAGATCTGATACACACTTTCAGCAAAGTAGCAGTCTACAAAATTAATGTACAAAAATCAGTAACTTTTCTATACATCAAAACCAAACTTGCTGAAAAAGAAATCAGGAAAGCAATCTCATTCACAAGAGCCTTGAAAATTAAAATACCTAGGCATAAACATAACCAAAGATGTTGAAGACCTCTACAATGAAAACTATAAAGCACTGAAGAAAATCTAGATGACACTAGAAGATGGAAAGACCTACCACATTCATGAATTGGCAGAATAAATATTGGAAATCCCCATTAAAATTACAATGTCATTCTTCACAGAAGATAGAAAAAAAATCCTAAAATTCATATGGACACACAAAAGACCCAAATAGCCAAAGCAATCCTGAGAAAAAAGAGCAATACCTGACTTCAGACTATACTACAGAGACATAGTAACAAAAACAGCATGGTACTGGTGCAAATACAGACATGTAGATCAGTGAAATAGAACAGAGGATCCTGAAATAAACTAACATGGCTTTAGCCATTTGATTCTTGACAAAGGTGCCAAAACATGCATTTGTAAAAGACAGCCTCTTCAACAAATGGTGCTGGGAAACTGGATACCCACATGTATAAGACTGAACTTAGATCCCTATCTCTTGCCATATACAAAAATCATCTTAAAATGGATCAAAGACCTTAATATAAGACCTTACACTTAAAAATTACTAGCAGAAAACATAGGGTATACATTTCAAGACGCAGGGATACCCAGTGAATTTCTGAATAGGATACCAATAGCAAGTGGGATTATATCAAATTAAAAGTATTCTGCACAGAGAGTTGTCCAAAGTTCTGTTTCTGAGTCCTGCTCTATAATTCCCTCTTAAACACACTTCAGCCATGTGTCACATCATGCCACCATGACCTTTTTCATCTCTCCCTAATGTGAAAGTAACTAATATTGTTTCTGTTGCTAAGTACAGTGGTCACTTCTCAATCCTTGTCATATCTGGACAGCAGCAGCATTTTGGCATGTCTGACCTTTCTTTCCTACTTAAATCACTTATTTCACTTGCTTCCAAGACTCCACCCTCTTTTTGCCTTTTATTTGGTTTCTTTTCTCTATGACTTCTTAATTTTTAGATGGCCAGTCTTAGTCCTTGTCCCTCTTTTCTTTGTAAATTTATTCCCTTGTTGTTCTTATCCAGGCCCACACTTTAAAAATAACCTGTGTACTTTTGATTGTCCAACTTTATCTTTGGCCTAGATAGCTCTCCTGGAGCTATTATTTACCAATCTACATGCATGGAAATTTACAGATATAAATATATAATTGAACAATGAACACCTCTACCAGGATGTATAACAGGAATCTTAAATTTGTAATGGTTGGAATCCTGGTGGAAACAGAACAGTTAATTTGAATAAGATGAGTCACATTTAATAAAGACACTAATTATAAAAGTACAGGATGGATTTAAAGAAAACACCATAAAATGGTGCAGTACCTAAGGGCTAGTAACCACAGGAGGTCATAATTACTCCTAGGCCTGAAGAAGTAAAAGAAAGGGAGTTATTATTGAAAGGATGGAAGGGAGGGAGGGAGGGAGGGAGAGACAGAGCGAGAGAGAGAGAGAAAGAGAGAGAGAAAGAAAAGAAGAAGAAGAGGAAGAGGAGGAGGAAGGGGAAGAAAAAAAGGGGAAGGAGAAGGAGAGGAAGAAGGAAATGGAGAAGAAGGGGACTGAACAAGGGAGGGGGGATGGGAGGAGGATGGGGAAGGGTGGGTGGGAGGAGGATGGGGGAGGGGGGAGAGAAAGTGCTTTTTTTTTGGTACTGGGGGTTGAACTCAGGGTCTTGAACTTGCTAGGTAGGCACTCTATTGCTTGAGCCATTCTGCCAGCCCGAGGAAGTACTTTATATAGAGAGTCACCCAACAATAGCTATGGCTTTTAGTAGAGGGACACAGAGGAGACACCTGCATGGTAGAAAATCTTTGGGAATTCATCCACCATTACTTTCCTCATGCTTTTCAAGTCTTCTACAGTTGCTTCTCATTGGCTAAACTCCACTGGAAGTGGGAGTCTATAGGTCAGCTTCTAAGGGCACATAGCATGATGGAGAAGGATGAAACTGGATCAAAAGAAGCTACACAGCACAGTTCTCCCCTTTTGCCCTTACACATTTACCCCTATACATTGTGTGGAAGAAAAAATTCTCCTCACCAACAAGAGACAGATTTTTCCCTTTAGCTACTATGTTGGGGTACTGCCAATTTTGTTGTATTCCACACTGAAACTTAAAATGTTAACTACTATCAATGTTTTTCACATAAGGTAACAGGGGAAAAGAAGGAATCAGGGATACATAATTACAACAAAGCACAGCTTCTTCAGCCTATACTTCTGTAGCTCATATTAAGACCTAAGTTGATAATCATGACTTTCTTTTCTCAATATCCAATCAATGTTCTTGTTACCCTTAGCCAACACCTCATCTGGTTGGGGTTCTTCACTTGGTGAGGTTTCTCAAGCCTACATTGTTGTACTTGGAACCCTTTTATGTGGGGACTACACATTCATCGACAATTTCTATTGGTCAAGGGGTACACAATACATGGTCCCACTTGCCCCACTTGCAAGCCAGTTCTCCATGGTAATAGAGACCAATCATTCCAGGCTACAGTATTGTTTTAGTAGCAGTAAC